TTATACAAAATACGTTTTTATTTGATTCAATATGAAAAATATTTATGACATATTATTCGATATATTTGTTATCTGATTACTTGATAATAATGAAATTTTAATACATTACAGATTCTCCCACACTTATTAAAAAATTGAAATTGAATATTTTTGAATTACTTCTTCTGTATATATTCTAACAAGTATCTAGGTGGTTGTCGATACCTCTCAGATCTCCGTAGTATAGGTTCTTCTGGTGCTGGTCTCCTTATATCTTCTAATACAGGTCGCTCTATTTGCTGTCGGGGTTGTATAATCATCATTTCGTCCATTCCCTCAGTCTACTGTTTGTCTGTAATACTCTCCTGTCGATCGTCTTGGAATGTCATTGTTTTCTTTGGAGGGACGCTTGTTCTGGCAAGGTTGTATAATCATCATTTCGTCCATTCCCTCAGTCTACTGTTTGTCTGTAATACTCTCCTGTCGATCGTCTTGGAATGTCATTGTTTTCTTTGGAGGGACGCTTGTTCTGGCAAGCTGGTCTATATGCCTCTTTAAGCTGTAACCATTATCTAATTTAATTTGATAATGTAGTCGTCCAAATTTTTGTTCAATAGTTCCGAATTTCCATGTGGGTTTGTTGTCTGCATACCATCGTGCTTGTACCCTCTCTCCCACACTATAATTTCGAATATTATGATGAAATATTTTGTTACCAACACTTTCTTTTGGTGGTCGCATCGCATCAAGTTTTATACGGATATCTCTTCCTAAGTATAATTGCGCTGGTGTTTTTCCACATTGTAGAGGGGTTGCTCGATATCTAAAAAGTATTTCTCTAATTTTCACGTGCATAGATAATTTCTCTTCTGCCATAGCTGTAAGTTTACGTTTGAGGGTTTGTATGTTTCTTTCAGCCAGGCCATTTGTTGATGGATGTCCAGGTGCAGTAAATTTCTGGATGATACCGTTTCTTGTACAAAATTCATGAAACATTGTACTTTGAAATATTGAAGCATTGTCGGATACCAATACTTTTGGTAACCCATGCGTACAAAAAATTTCTTGCAATAAATGTATGGTATTTTCGGATGTAGGTGCTTGTTTTATTGGTTTAATTTCGGCCCATTTTGATTTTGCATCTACTACAACGAAGAAATGGAAACCCTGGAAAGGTCCTGCATAATCCATATGGATCCTATCGAAATTTTCTTGAGGTTCTTCCCAGTGATGCAGTGGTGCCTTTTCTGGATTCTTCCTTATGAGAGCACAACTTTTACATAATTTTACCAATTGTTCGATGTCTATCGGTCTATCGATGTTTTTCCAATAGCAGTATTTTCTTGCAAGTTGTTTCATTTTTACTATACCTATATGGGTATGATGTAGTTCCCTTAGTACTTCTGAACGAAGATTTTCTGGTATTACGATTCGATTACCTTTTGAATATTATTCCAGTTCCCACACTGTAATCAGTATTTTCCACATTTCCTTGAATTATGTCATTTTTCATTTTGGAAAGTTCTTTATCCTGCTCGGTTCCTTCTGCTATTGACGTATGTGTGATTGAATGGGTGGATATTTGATTTATGGTTTGATCGCATATAACTTGTAGTTCTTCATCTAGCAGTGTTTCAATACCTGGAACTTTTTGATGATGTGTTGATCTTGACAAGAAATCTACGTTTTGATGCTCTTCTGCTTTCCTGTGTTGAACCTTGTAGTTAAAATTCTGCAAGAATGTTGCATAACGCAATAATCGGCTTGATGTCATGGCTGGTAATTTCGAATCTTGATGAAAAATACGTGTTAATGGCTTATTGTCAGTGATTAGTGTAAATTGTTGGCCATAGACATAATTATAGAATTTGTTCACTGTAAAAACTATTGCGAGCGCTTCTCTGTCGAGTTGGCTATAATTTTGCTCTGCTTGGGTGAGCGATCTTGATACAAAAGCCACAGGTCTTTCTCCTCCTTCGATAATATTTGATAGAACTCCTGCGATACCTGTCGGACTGGCATCACATGCAATTGTTATATGTAAATTTGGATTGAATGGTACCAATACTCTATCGCTTGATATTTCTTGCTTCAATTTGATAAAAGCCGCTTCGCATATTGATGACCATGAAAATTTATAATTTTTTTGAAGTAGCTTCCTGAGTGGATATGTTAGTGTTGATGCATTTGGTATAAATCTTGAGTAATATGTTACCATTCCTAAGAACTTACGTACATCATCTGCATTTTTCGGGCGATGAACTTTTTCGATGGCTTCCACTTTGTTTTGACATTTGGAAATTTGATTATATCGAACGGTATATCCTAAGTACTGGATTTCTGTTTTGAAAAAATCACATTTATCTTTGTTAAGATGTAGATCATTTGCTTTCAGCCTATCTAAACATCTTATCAATCGTTTACCACACTCCTCTCTAGATGTTGCATGTATAATAATATCGTCAAAGTAAGACATGGTTCCATCTAGATCTTGCAAAATTTCTTCCAATATTCTATTAAATTCGTTCGGAGCGGTTTTGATCCCAAAGGATAACCTGTTCATTCGGTACGTTCCTCTATGTGTTGATATTGTTTGAATTGCTTGGCTATCTTCATCAACTTGTACATGCAAGTACGCTTTGTATAAGTCCAGTCTGCAAAAAACTTTTGAATTACGAAGATTGTTCAGAATCTCGTCAATATTCCTAATTGGATAGTGGGCTGCTTGCAATTGTTGGTTGACAGCTATTTTGTAATCCACACAAAGCCTTACGTTTCCATCTGGTTTGGGTATGACTACTAATGGCGATCCCCAGTCGCTTAGATTAACCTTGGTAATAATTCCAGTCTTCTCGAGCACGTCTAGTTCTCGTTCGACTTTTTCTCGAAGTGCATATGGTATGATTCGATGTTTGATAAAAGTTGGTTTAGCGTTTTCGCGTAGCTTTAAGGAACATTTTACGTTTGGAATACATCCCACTTTTGGTTCAAATATATCCTTATATTCAGAAAATATATTTGGAATAGGGTCAATTGCAAAACAATCCGACTTTGATAAATTTGTGTTATTTTTATCGATTTCCGCTAAATTAATTTGTAAATGGCGTATCCAGATTCTTCCCAAAATTGGGTGATATTTCGATGGTACTATGTACATTTCTTCTTGTGATTTTCTTCCTTGATATTCAACCTCAACAGATACAAAACCTATTGGGGTAAAAACTTCTCCCGTATATGATCGAAATAGTGTTGATGGCTTTCGAAGAGTTGCTTTTAAATTCAATCTCGCGTAATCTGTTTCCGGAATCAAAGTGTATCCTGCTCCCGAGTCGACTTCAAATGATTGACGCTTTCCTTCGATATAAATATCAGTAATATATTTACGGATTTCATTTTGATGTTGTACACTGTGTTTTTGAAATATGTCCACAATGTTATTGATGCTATTAAATTGTTCGTTTTGTGATGAAACGTAATTCGTTTCCACATTGGTTGAAGCGTTGTTTGATTTTTGTTTCATTATTGTTTGTATGCATACTTTTGATACATGTCCCGATTTACCACACGCATTACACTTTAACCTGTTGCTATCAATACGACAACAGTTCGCCCTATGATTAGCACGACCGCACCTTAGACACAAATTGTTGATGCCTAAATGTTGATAGTTTATTCTCGATGTTGATCGGTTTCGCAAGTCTATTCTTCTTTTTGATTTATTCCGGTTTTGATCACAATGCGCGTTACGATTGTTAGTATTACTAGTGCTAGTACGATGGCGTGACACATGATTAACATTTTCAGATTTGATTGTTCCTTGGGAATTTGAAATTTCTTGTGTATTAATTTTACTCGCTTCTAATGCTAGTGCTTTTTCAATGACTTCTGTAAAACTTAACGTGTTACTTTGCAAAAGGTGTTCTTTGATCTTCATATCACGAATACCACGAATGAATTTGTGCCCGTAAAAAGATTTCTGCTACAGATTTGCCACATTCACATTGAAATTCGCAATTATTGACATATTTCCGTAGTTTTGCAACGTATTCTGTTATAGAATCGCTGTCATTTTGATATTCGCATAAAAATTTATGCTGCTCTACAATTATGTTCGTTTTCGGACAAAAATGTTTTTCCAGTAGCTCAATTAACTTATCGTAGGTTAGCCGTTTCGGATCTTCAGGGGCAGCTAAGGAAGTTAGTAAATCGTAATTCGAGGATCCTATGTACTGAAGGAGTAGCTTTGCGCACATTTCCTTATCGTTGATTAGCCCTTTGACTTGAAAGTGGATTTCTAATCGTTCCTTGTATTTTGATTCTTCGGGTCAAATGTTTCAAAACTTGATAGCAATGTTACTTGAGGCTTTTGTTGATTTGCATTCACATTCTGCTGGCGTTGCATTGTCGTAGTCATCTCTAGCATTGCTGCAATCAATTGATTTAATTGGGCGGTATCTGCCATTATTGATAACGATTACCAGTGTTGATCGCGTTAAAGAATAATAAAATGTACTTCACCTCGTCGCCACTTGTTTTGTATTAAATTTAATTATACAAAATACGTTTTTATTTGATTCAATATGAAAAATATTTATGACATATTATTCGATATATTTGTTATCTGATTACTTGATAATAATGAAATTTTAATACATTACAGTTTGTCACCCACCACCAAAATTATGACACTAGCAATGACAGTTTCCAAATTATTTTTGTTACCATAGCATAGGGATTGTCGTACCAACGCAACGTTCCTATGGTAACTTGTTACGTAGCGATTTTTTGAAAGAACGCGTTCTCTAACTCCATACAGATTAAGTGTTTCAGTTTCGACAGTACGAAAAATATCGTATATACCTTGCGACTGAAGTAGTGGTCTTAATCCCTCAGGTAACTTTACCTTCGGGATTAAAAGTACTACTTCAGTCCCGCGGTATATAATATACTATTATTTACTTGCTTAGTTTTAACAATAATTTTTTTAAACCTCTGTATTTTACGAACTACCACTTGGCCTTCTCAAATTAACATGAAACCCAGCATTTACTGACTTCTTAAACACATGTTACAATTTTTTTTAACAATTACAAAAACTGGTGATTAAATTTTATTCTTAATTAACTGGCTAGTTACACCTACAGGGATTGAACACTTCACTCCTAAAATAAAATGTAATTTCTATGGCACTGGTAATAATTTTACTGTAACAATCTTACACATAATACTACCACAGCTATCTCAGCAATAAATAAGTCTTTAATTACTCCTATCTTGTGGAACGTTGGTTCTTTATCTCCTCTTATAGTCTGGGACTCAAAAGTCTAATGCAAACCACTCAAATAAATACTCATAAATTGACTGGTTTGAATGTATTACAAATAATATCGTTACAACTCCAGTTTTCTTTACATTGGTTATGATTTAAAAGATTGATGTACTTCAGGAAACAAATATTAAATTTTTAATACCTATATCGTGATCAGGATTTTTAATATTTTTTAATTAATCTAACACCTGGTACAAATTCCTATTCAAAACAAATTTACACACCTCCTGGATGTTAAATGAAAAATGTAAAACCCACACAAATTTATCAAAAATAAACAAATTTGTTCACGGGATAAACCCGCGTAAATAGACCTCTCAGGAATATAAAAATTAGTTCAAATGCAAATTCCTTATACAAAATCCCCAAAAACGATTGATTCCTACTTTTGTACAATACAAAGAAAACTTTTACCGATGCGAAATTTTTGCCAATTGTTAGTTGTCGTATAAACAAATTAGATGCACAACTTTGATTAATAAATTGGTTTTTTTACATAACTTGCGACTACAAATCTGGCGCAACGAAATGTTTTGCATCTTGGATCGAAACGAGAAAATGTTCGCACACGTATTATATATACGGTAACGCTTCGCAGCATTCACGGTTAAAAATTATATTGGCCAACCACTGCTTGACCGGTATACATTCTCTTTGAAGGTTTGCCGCTCTCCCACTCGATTTTCACTTATGTACCCTGTCGTTTGAAAGTTATGAAATGGACCCACCGCAAAACCGGCATTCGCTTTTTTATACACAGGCAAGTATAGGGGAGATTGCCCCTCTCATGCTCTGTCGCGACGGTTTCTAAAGCTGGAAACGCTATAAATGTTTTGACTCTTATCTGCTTGAACACTCATTTCTTATCTTAAAGCGCTTTATTTCTCGAATAATAGTTCGTCAGTTAGTTGTCATTCATTATCAAGCGGTACTGTTTATTTTGGGCCATACTATATTTAACTGACTGAAAATTGGAAGTGTTCTTGGATTAACAGACGAGCCGAAAACCCTCTGCCTTTCTTTTTCTTGTGAAGAGAACTAGCTCCGTTTTTGTCGGGTTGATGGACAAAGAATGTTTCTACACCAGTTTTTGGTTACTCTAAGTGCTGATTGCATCAGTCTGCATATAGTGCCCTCAAATTTGCCGGTTATTATAATGTATGGATATATCATCCCCATACCCCAGCGTATACTACTGTCATTGAGGCGGCAGAGGAGGCTGTTTACAATTGAGAAGTGGTAATAGCACCCCACCTTGGGGGCATTGCAAACGCAAATGATAGGGGGGGGGGGTTAAATTTAGTTAAAACAACATTCAAATAATAGTTGCCCTCTCACAATCGAAAGTAGCTCTAGGGTCTTCATCAATTACATAAAAAGAGGCTTAAGACCATTCAGGAAATGTACCCGTTTACTTTCTTACGTCTTTTCCAATTTACATTTTACAATTGGATTATAATATGAATTTAGTTAGTAAGGAAGTTATGTAACAGAGCCACATTTACACCAGGGTCTCACCGGCGAAGAATACATTATATAGTTTGTTGTTATGGTTTTGTATTTGTGGTTAGAGCTCAGGCATCTTGGCCGGGACATGACCTGTCCCATAATAATATAGAGTTGTGTTAGGGGGTTTGGATCCATACTATTACAGTATTCAAATAACATAAACAATTGGGAACCATGAAAAATTACCACATTTGACATTTATAAAAAATTGGATAGTGGAAAAATACCATTAAAGGAGAGGGAGAAAGGAGTGGAAATCTAACATTCAATCTTGACTTTTGGGCCAAGCGAAAGCAGTTCTAGAATCATAAACAAGAGCTCTAAACTAAACAAGAGTAAAAGCAATCTCGAAGGATTAATTCTATGGACTTCATTTGAAGTTTCTTGCGAGGCTTTTTTCTGGCTAGCCAATATTTTTTAACAGGCCCAAATCTGAGGGAATGATTCTCATTCGCATGGCCAGTTAGTTCTGAAATCGCATTAGTAACAATCATACTAGAAGGCCTGAGGATTATCCCTTTTATTTTGGCTTGAAAACCAATTACGCTATCTTCCAACAAATGCATCATTAATTACAAATTCATAAAAGGTTATGACAATACAGGAACAAATTCAACAAATATTTTATGCCCTTAGAATCTGAAGACTCATCGCACAAGCTGATAATAAAGACCTAATTGAATTTCAAAGTTTTCTTGGTGCGAGTGTTTAAGCGGTGTGATATAAATTAAGCGGGTGCAAAAAGCGGCAGCGTTGAGCAAGTACTCCTCTTCCTTTTAATTGATCCCAGCGATGCAGTGGCGTCTCGGTAGCAGTAGTAACGTGGTCTATGGTAGCAACGATGCAAGGTGCAGCACATTATACACTTTCCGCGCTTTAGCGAAACACAAACAAATAACTCTTGCACCGAACGACCGCAAGCCCCCTTTTTTCCCCTTCATGGTCGCGAGTCCCAAGCTCAACGTGTTTAGGTAACATATGGAAGTGATGCGGATTTCGCGAGCTTGTTTAGGCATCATTTAGCTACTTTTTCATGAAAAAAAATCGAACCAATGCGTTTAATTTTTTTGAGAAATTTAACCTTTTCTGTCGGAATGTCGAAAAAAGCCCTCAAGCGGCGATATGTGAAACTAACAAAACTTCAAATATTATAACATTTGTAGCCGAAGAATAACACTTTTCAATTAACCCGAGTTTGTTAAAATCGGCTCAGCCGTTTGAATACCCCCCACCACTTCATTCAGAGATACAGGAAAAATTGTCAAACAAAAAAAGGTTTAAATTATCGTCGTCTTCAAAGACCGGACATTTTTTTGTTAGGTTAATATAGCGGAATTCACAGAAAAATAACTGTTTTAGATTCCAGATTGCAGTAAGGCCCCTTGGCAGCCATTTCAGAAACTTAAAAATATTTTCCAGGTTTTTCTCGTGGCCGTTTTAGTGATAACTTTTTTTACCGCAAGCCTCTACGATGGACAGGTTCCCAGATACAGTACCTCGCATTCTTATTTGGCCACCCTGTACATGGGAATTTCGAACTGAAACTCTAAAATAGTAGCTATCAACTAACATCAAATAAAAATAAAATAAAATTCCAAAGTGAACTTTGTTTTAGATCAAATATCAAGCCCTTTCTCCCTCCTTTCCTCTCGCACTCTCCCTCGCTAGACCTTAAACACTGTCAGTTAAAACCGTCTACCAAAAACTGATTGGAATAGGACACAAATCAATTGCTGCTTGTCGACTCTAGAATATTTGGCAATTTAATAGAACCAAATCTGCTGAAATGATCAAGAATAATTCATGACTAGTTTTATGCGCCACAATGACGCTGTTATGTCAACATCTATGACGAACGTAGCACATTCATTCTAACTAAAATTATTAAAAGAGAACCTTGTAGATACATTGTGGTATGACCACCAATTAGACCGCTATTTTGTATTTGTATTGTATTTTTCTAACCCCAAGGCAGTGAAAAATAGCACAGCACTAAATTACAAAGGCAGTACAAACAGAAACAGATAACATAATCCTACATTCTACAATATAAACTTCCAATGGATGGGATTAACCCTACCGTTTGCATGTTTGTTAAAATTATTATTAATAAATTTACTTACAGGGTATTTTAAACATTCTCCAAAAAGACAATTTGTACAAAGAAATTTCTCTGCCCTGTCGGAAAAACTTAGAACTTGACGTCGCAGGAGCTACATCGAGCGGAAAATTTACTGTTGCTCGCGATTTGTTACCAAAAATTCAAGCACTCAATGCTGTTCGTTGCATCCTGGATAGGTCGTGTTCATTCCATTACGAAATCAACAATCGAAGCATTGAGTCGTTTATCTGGGTGAGTATTGCTGATCTGAGGGCGTGGCTTCACATAGACTATTGTTAACAACTGTGTTAAATATACAATAACATAGCAGCTCGTAGTGTAGGAATCGAATGTAAGACTGTGCGCATGCGCTCTCTCCATGTGATAGAAGCAGACAGAAATATAATTTACATTAATTTTAATTAAGGATTTGACAATGTTTTTAGGCAACCCATTTGCAATGTGTTTATTTACATATTGAGATTGCAGTCTTGGTAAAATAGATGAGTGAAAGTTTGTTGATAGTTTGTACTATTAGGGAGCCACCGACCTGGTTCTCCTTTGGGATGTAGTGCATGCTGATCTTGTCCTGGAGTATCTCCCGGATGTAGTGGTGACGAATGGCGATGTGCTTATTATTAGGATTATTAACAAGCCCGGGTTGATGGTGTGGTGACGTCCATATCGCTCAGGGGGTCGACCGAGTCAAAAAACTTACTTAAATGCTCGAGCACGTCGCCGCTGTCGGCCATCTTGCATACGATGATGTCCCGCGATGTGACATAACGTTGAACCTGTTTCAACTCGCTAGCGCTGATCGACAAGATTATGTCGTGACTTTGCCTTGAGGTTGTTTTTGGTTGATGTGCTTACCGCGGTAGCGTTGGCGTTGTTTGGTATCGGTTGAGGTTTCACGGAGTCTCCACTGGCGTAGTCCCACAAATCGCTCTTGATAAGCAGCGCCTGCATCTGCATCCTCCGTGTGTCGTAAGTCTCTGTCCCAGGTAGCTCAATGCGGGGCGCGTTTCCGCCATTAATCATGGCCGCCGATAAACACGTTTTTCGTTTCAACGCCTTTATTACACTGTCACTCACGGCTTCCGCTTCCCCATAACCTGTTGAGGTGGCGGATCGCGGAATGTCAAAAAGATCTTGATTAAAAGTAAAAACAGAAAGAAAATCTAAACACAAACAAAACCATACAAGGCAGACACACAAAGAGAGTGATTATTGTTGTCATGTGATTAGCATACTTTGCGAGCTACGACTCGTTTACAATAGATGGAGCAACAAACGCTAAATTCACTGAATTCTGACAATCATTCATGAGAATTTATGCTGTTTTTGATTAAAAAAATTATTTGATCTGTACCTATTAATCAAAATTTAAAAAAATATTCCAAAAGAAAATTGGAAAGAGGTAGGTAATCAGAAAAAGGTTTTCTAGCTAGATGTGTTTGTTTCATTGGTGGCAATATACTTTTTGGGTGCTCCGTTGTGCCCCTCCCCCTTCTTCCATAAAAGTAAAGAAAAAAAGCAATTTCATTTAATTCAACACCAATGCCAATCGACTATACAGGGTGAGTTTTTTCTTCATTTTAAGCATTAGGATCTCGGAAACCGTAAGACATAGAGATTCGGTTAAATGAGGAAAGAGTTGTCATTTTGAGAGCTTATTCAAGATATGCTTTGGTTTTTTGAAAAAAATCCACAGTTTACTAGATATGGGCGAAAAACAGATTTAATGATTTTTCTTTTAAATGTTGTAGAATCGTTAGTATTAGAAATACAGGAACATGCAAAGAACAAAAATTGTAGATGTTTTTCCGCTTAATAAGATACAATTATCCATTCTTCTTTTATAATTTTCGAGTTATAACGCAAACTTACATTTTTTTTAATGGCAACCATAGTTGGCTGTGACATTTTTAAAAAGTGTATTTTTTTCTGTTTACAGTGATATAAGGTTCATTGTAGTTAGTTTGACAAATAAACATGATACAGATCTGTTTGTATTATTGAGAGTAGTAAAAACAGAGTTTACCATGGGAAACATTTTTGTCCTCTTAATTACTCAGTTAATTATAAAATTTAACTTAAAACTTTAGGGGAACAAATAAATTTCTACTTTGAAGTAATTACATGTCAAAAAATTTTCTCGGCAAATGTTCAAAATGTCTATCATTTATATTTACACACAGCAGCAACTTTTCGCGATAGAATTTACAGCTTTCTGTATTATCCTACCATTTAAATTGCGAAAGGAATTTACCACAGCATCACGTAGTTCTTCTTTTGTCGCATACGCTGATAAATTAAACCTTTTTAGAACACTGAAAAGAAAAAAATCTAAAATTGAATGATCTGGCGATCTTGGTGACCAAAGGATCAATCTGTTCCTACCTATCCATGAATTTGGAAATAGTTGGTTTAGGTCCTGTCCAATTTTCGTCGTAAATGAAACGTCCAATATCTCACTAGATATTGTTTTCCATGGCACTCTGTTTATATACCTCTCAATAATACGAAAATTCCTGCAGTGCGTTTATTGATTAAAGTACGTTTAGCAAGCCTTATATCGTTATACAGAGAAAAACTTGTCCTTTTTAAAATTGCCAAAGTCAACTATGACTACCATTTAAAAAAATTAAAGTTTGTATTATAACTCGACAATTGTAAAATATAGAAGGAAATTAGTATACTCATCATGTTAAGCATTAAAATGTCTAAAACTTTTATTCGTGTCATTTTGTTGTGTAACGTGATTTATAAATTTCGGGTTCGATTTATATCAATATTTATTAAACAAAACTAAAACACTATAAAAACCGTACAATTTATATCGATATTTATATCACACACTTCGCAATTTATATTTCCGCGCTCGATCTCGTTCGGTAGTAAAACTGCCGCGATGTTCGGTCCGCAACCATTTATACACGCAAGCAATGTAAGTCCAGAACATTCGCGCAATTACCAGACACGCTGCAAACATCCCCACCATCGCGCGTCTAGAATATTTTTTGAAATAACAAAAGCATAACTAAAATAAGCTCTTAAAACGACAACTCTTTCCTCATTTAACCGAATCTGTATGTACTATAGTTTCCGAGATCCCAATGCTTAAAATGAAAAAAAACTCACCCTGTATAACTCTGGCCGATTTTGCAAATTTTTTACTGCAAGGTATATTCTAATATCATTGTTTTAGGCTGTTACTCACATCATGCAAAACGGAAGTGTGAAAGATAAAGAATCCATCAAATCTCACTTTCTTCAATTGAGCTTAGAAGGTGAATTTTTGAATTCGCCGAAATCTGTTAAAGATTTCGTGTCGGACATACTGCAGGATGATCTTAGCAAAGTGAACGGCGCACTGTCCACTGACATTTCCATACCTGCTTCAAAACAGAAACCATCTTTAGATTTCTCAGGTACTAGTGCAACTTATTTTCCTTGAATATTTAAAGGTACACCCTTAGCTAATCCCCGTTTGGAGTCAAGGCACATAGAGCAACAAATCATCTCGTGTTATAATGTAACTGAAATACAGCAATTAGTTACGAAAGTTTCAACAAAGAGCATGAGTAGATCGATGTGGAAAATAAATCCTTGTTGGGAGTTGCCAATTCCCTTGCAAAGTGTTTTAGTTGCTATGCCGAAAGGTGAGTACTAAAAAAATATTGCCCAGGAGTACTTAGTTTCCTATTAATTCATGGATCTTTTCTTAGGCTTTTTGCAAGACTATAGTTTTATATTACTAGCCAAATCGAAAGAATTGATGCTCAGTAAAAATTGGAATATGTCACTAGTGTTACTTAAAATTTTAAAATCGGAAATTCAAAACAGCTCCGGAGCATTTATAGCGAAGTTAAATAGATTAATTTCGTGGGAGGCGCTACTAATACAAATCAATCAATTACTGGAAGAGTGGCCTGCACCTGCCATCGGTTGTACAATTGAGATTAAATTATCCATAATAATTATTCTAATTCGCAGACAAGAAGCTGCTAGCCGAGGAGTGTGAAACTTGCCTACAACCCGCGGAATCCGTTTTGCCAAGAACGGAAATAATGGAACACTGCGCCCTGTGCCTATTGAATCTGGGCCATTTCGAATTTTTATCGCTTTTCGAGAAGAGGTTGAGCTATTTTGAGATCGCCGCGACTATCGCTAGCGCCTCCCAGGATTTGACCAAATTTAAGGGAAATAAAAAACTTTCGAGGGATTTGTGGGATTTAGGTAATGGGACTGCCGAACATTGCAGATGAATTAATTTGTGTATCTAGTTCTTCCCGTTTTCGGTACTGTACCTGCCCAATCCAAACGGAATAGTACGGGTAATACAACTCTAATGCAGAGAGATTCTCCGATTAATAACACCAAAAATACTAAGAGTGTGCTGTTGTCGTTTTTCTTGCGATTGAGAGATTCAACTGTGCTCACTGTTATAATATCTATGCTATCAAAGTTACACAATGTGCTGCGAGATGAGTCCAGTCTAGAATTAAATATGGATTACATCATGTTGTGGCCAGCTGCTGTTAGCAAGTATGTTTTCATTTCTGTAATATTTTTATGACTTCATCCTTGAGGTGGTCATACCATGTGCCTTTATATTTCCTAGTGATAAACATAGTTATAATAGCTTCCTGTCTGCATTAAATACAGACCAGAAATTAAGATGCATACCCTGTCCCATCAGTTCCATACATTTTGATAAATTTTAATAGTATATTAAAGCATAAGTTGCAGAAGGCGCTATATTCTAGCACGAGTTCAAGTTTCGAACCTGAGCCGCTACAAGGTTCGAATGAACGAGTGCTAGAAAGGCCTTCTGCAACATATGCTTTATACTATTTTCTCTGTTGAGCATTTTAATTGTATTAAAAAAATTAACAATTCTGACATTTTCTGTAAAAATATTTCAATAAAGAAATTAAGTTGGCAACACCAACAATTTTTCAATAAAGAAATTAAGTTGGCTACGCTACATTTTGAAAAAATTCAATTTAACAAGCGCGTCAAATACGAATTTGTGCAGTATATTTTAGTTTTTTCAATAAAAAGTGAATAATGTGCGAAGAAATTCTTCCTTCCACTCCTCCAGAGCTTCGACAGTTAGCAGAAGAGACTGTTCATAATTTGCTACCAGGCAATAATTTCACAATTATTCTAAAAGTTTATAATAATTGTACATTTAGTGACAAAGATTAGTTTTGTAATTTTGTTAGGTTATAAACCCTCATTTGTATTAAATGTGGATTTCTCTAAGTACCTACACTGAATTTTCAATACCTAATGATTTCAATTACCCGTATCGTTAATAACTGTAACATAATGTTATAACAATAAGTGAAATTAGTCCACATTTTACTAAACCGTTGAGATAAGTATTAACGTCTAAATCATCCAGGCAGAACTTTGAATTGAACATTCGCGTATATGATCAGCCTGGATGATTTAGACGAGCATGCCAACCACTGAATACCACATGTTCTTTAAAATCTGTCAGTTGTGGAAAATAGTTACCAAAAATAGTGTTGGAATGAAACTCATTCCAGCACTATTTTTGATATCGGAATACTGTCATTATAAACGCAAAACAGAGAAACTAATTTAGACTGTTGTTTTTACATGTTTCTTTTCAGTGCCAATTCGTATAATCCAAAAGTGGTATTGGAAGTGTTGCAGGTAATATTAGAAAAAGCATTGCAATATTATCCCTTTAACATATCATGGATTAGGCTTATGGGTGATATCAATTTCGGTAAATATTCGAATCTTTACTTACTATTTAAAAGTTATTGCTTTCAGTAAATGAACATTACGAAGAGGCTTTGAACAACTATTTAAAATCGTTCATTGTATGCAGCGATAATTTTACTATTCCAATTAGATATGACGATTTGGTAATAAGGAGGATGATAAAAAGTTGCGGAATGCTAGGTTGTTATACTCAAGTTGGAATATTATGTCAGTTTCTTGAGAACGTTGATTATACACTGGCATTTCATAGTTTGGGTCTGGTGGAGCAAAAATTAAGCGGCGACGCCTTGGACGCGTATTATCATTGCATTTGGAACAACAGTATTTTAGAGTATTTAGTTCATATTCATAACAAAAGGGGAGAGTTTCGACAAAGAAAGCGAGCCACTCAAGTTACGGGTTTGTTAGAGCTGAATTCTAATAATAATGAAGAAATACGACATGAAGCTAGTAATTTAAGGAAAAATATTTTTCTACGTGCTCTTTGTAAACTCTATGTGCATTGAAAATAAAATAGTAGAAGAATTGTCTCCACTGGTATGATTTTGTTCATTGGATTTTTTTACTTTCTGTTAGTACATTCATGACATCAGATAACACTCCCAACTTGTCCAAATACAGGGGTAAACCAGGTGTCAAATTCTTGACAGAATAGCTTCCTAGCTGAAACCAAAAATTGCCAACATATGTACGCACTTACAGACGGGAAAAATTTATTCTTTAAAAGTTGCTTAAAATGATCTAAAACGTCAACATTTGATGAAATTTCGCATTGTACCTAGCTCATGCTATGAAGAGAAAATCGTCAATACGTGGAATTGTATGCAACCAATATTACACGATTTCAGGATACGTCAAACATTTCTTGAACTGTTATCGAACATACCATTCCAATTTATTCGTTGTGAAAAATCGCAATTTGACACTAATAAAAAATACACACTAATGGGCAACTTAAATAAGAAAGTTGGATGTTGCACATGCGCAACTCGATTTTTTGCGCATGCATTTTGTTTTCTTTTATTAGGAGGACCTACCATCCAAATTTCGTTTTAATTGTTCCATAAATAAGAAAATTGCATTTCTGCGCATGCGCAACACGATTTTTGCGCATGAATTTTGTTTGCTTTTATTAAAGGGACTTACCATAGAAATTTCGTTTAAATTGCTTCAGAAACAAGATCGTTGCGTTTTGCACATATGCAACACAATTTTTTAACTTTGACAATTTTTTTCTCCGTTTTTTGATAATATAACCCGGCCCAATTTTTTGTAGGTTGTACACAGGAAAATAAGGTCTTCCAAATAATAGAATAAAAATTTTAGGTTGCTATTTGAAAAAAAAAGTTCGATGCCGTTACGGCGCTCCAAAATTTTTTTTCAAAAATCCGGCCCGTTATTTTTCTGTTCGGTATGCCTAAAACATATATACAAAATTTCAACAAAATCCGTCGAGCCGTTTTCTCAGAAAATTGCCAACAAACGTACGTACGTACATACAGACGGAAATAGTTATTTGTTTCATTAGTACAAAAAATGTCAGTTTTCGGGACGAGGAAGATAGTTGCTGGACGACGCGTTAGCGGAGTCCAGCAACCTTCCGAGTCCCGAAAACGCATTTTTTGTACGAATAAAACATAAAATTTTTTCTCCAACCCCCTTTACTTCAAATTATATTCGAATTTAGATTCAGTCACAGTTTCACTACTATAGTATAAGAACTTCTGCTTTCTTGTCCTCACGTGTCATGCCACTCTAGTTTTTAGGTTAACTTATAACCTATTCGTTCTTACTTCTTACTTCTCACCTCTCGCGACTTTGTAGGGAGCAAATCTTGAGGTAGCATGTTCTGCCGTTTCTATAATCTCTGGCGGAGTGCAATCCATGTCGCTATCAGTTTCAGTCATTTCTATTGTATACACAATTAATATTGTTATATTTTGTATTGAAATAAAAAACTTACCATACAGTTTTTTAATTAAAATTAATTGCAATTAACTTTTTCAAATTTTGAATTCAAAATGACAGATAATAGTGCAATGGGTCTGAAGTAGATGGCGTTACGCGCGACGGCGGGTTGTATACGTATTAAAATTACGTTCACCGAATATGTAAATTACGTTACACATGGTTTAAATAAAAATAGCGAGCGTAAATCATTTTCAATACATGTACATACGTATAGGTAACAGCATTATTTGCATTGAATATGCAAAAATATTTGATTTGTATGTATAGAAATATCTTACAACCTGCAATGTAAAACGATGTCAATGTGACATATCTCCGTGATTGTAATTTTTTAATTGGCCAACTTTCAAGGTCAATTTCTTTTTGGTACTAGGACCAAAAGTATCCACTTTTTGTACAGTTGCCATGGTGAAAGCGATTAATCCGCAAAACGTCAATTTTAGGTACCGAACACTGTCACAAAATAGCGTCTTATTCAGGTGGTTGGAGAAAAAAAATTTTATTCTTTAAAAGTTGCTTAAAATGGTCTAAAACGTCGAGATTTGATGAAATTTTGAAATGTTCAAAAAACGGCTATCGCAATAGCTACCTAGCACATGCTAGGAAGCTAAAAATAATATATCGATAGTGAAAAAAAAAGTGATATCAATATCCGATTTTTTTGATAATTTTTTTATTGATAAGCAATAGTGAATTTCTATTATCGCTCACATTGTGCAAATGTTTCGGTAAGTGGTAACCTAACCAGTCGCCTACCTATAACGTTCCATGAATATCTTCACTAGATAGTTAGAACGTCAACCAAGGTGCAAATTGAGACATGTATAGTACGTATGACACCTCACAGCACAGTGTTTTTGTAACCTATAAGGATTCAATCTGACAGCGCACTTTGATGACATGACGCAAGGCAGACGTGCTGCCACATTCCTCAGTTGTATTTGAAGACTTGTATCAGTTTGATGATTATCTTATTTATAACGTAAATTTATATAAGATTAATTATATAATGTTGTGGAAGTAAAAACTATTAACGATAAACTAAATTTATAACGGTCCTTAATAAATCAATATTTATCTTTATAATATCCCAGCGCATATGTCGCTATTTATCACTTCGACATCGATATTAGAGACTTAACACAATTCAATTTGCTTATATACCTACCAGAAAAATCTAGAATGCATCTTTCTTTTTTTTTTTCAAGAAATAAAACAAAATTTCCTCTTCAGCGTCATCCAATTCTGATTGACAACTTCATTTGAACCATAATTCCAATGTGGCGGTTGCGAGTAAATAGTTAAAACTGCATCTCAATATGCGGAAAACTACGCAGCAGCACGTGTACGTACACGTCCTGTCTCGCGTGTGAACAATGTATGTTCGAAAAAAACAAAAGGGACTAGAAAAATGTTGGAACACTGAAAAAGAGAAAGCTAAACCTTTCTATTTCCCACATGACAAAATTGTGCAATATTAGCGTTTTGTCAACGTTTAACGGTGACTGGGTAACGTTAGCGTACTATATATTAACATCACCTTGACATCAGGGACGTAACAACAAGGGGTGCAACTGGTGTGGTGCACCAGAGCCCGGAGGTGCCACAACAGTTTATGTATGTTTAAAATATCTCTACATCCCATAGTGAATAGACAAATGAGGTATAAGAAAAAAGAGTTGAAACGATATATATATCATTATTTAATGAAGGTTGGACAAATTCATATTTTGTGCTTCAGCGAACATTGGCTACTTCCAAATGAAGTAGAAGCAACTAATATTCTGAATTTTGAAGTTGGGTCCCACTTCACCCGACGCGTATACAAAAACGGAGGCGTGATTTTATATGTGTACAACAAGGGATAGATTTCCGCAAAAGATGTGACATTGACGAATTATCAGTTGAAAAAGACTGCGAAATAGCTTCTGTGTTTTTGCAAGAATACAACTGTGTTGTTATCGCAATATACAGATCGCCAGCTGGTGACTTAAATTCATTTCTAAACATTTTTAGTATGGTCCTCGATAAGTTGAGCAGTAACAATTTTGACGTTATCATAACAGGTGATTTTAATATCAAATTTAATTCAAAAGATGCCAAATATTTAATCTTTTATAACCTGCTAGTGTCGTTTAACCTTATATCTTTAATAACAATACCAACAAGACTTGAAAACTGTTTAGACAATTTCCTAATTTACAAAAACGCATTTAGTGACCATGAAGTCGTTATTGAACATCCTTTTCTTTCGGATCACAAAGCCATAATACTCTCAGTGAAACTTCAATTGAAACATAGCCGCTCCACACGCAACGCTGTCTATGTGCAACCTATTACGCAAAAAGGGCTGTATGATTTTTATCATAAGATTGAGGCAATTGACTTTGCGTTCGTCAAAAATAAAGCATCAGATATCAATGCCAGATTCGAACAATTCACTTCCTTAATATCAAATTATGCGCAGGAAAGCTTCCCAAGAAAACGCTTAGTGACCCGGAATGATGACATAAAATGGTTCAACAATACACTTCAATTACTTCGTAATAATTTAAACTTTCTCGTCGATGTCTGCAACAACCGCCCAACAGTACAAAATTTGGATCTCTTGAAGCACTACCACAAGGTATATAAAACTGAAATACGAAAAGCCAAGTTGGAGGCTCACAATAAATTCATTCAACGGCACAGTAACAATGCTAAAGCAATATGGAAAGTTATAAACAATAATAGGGACACTAAATCTAGCCAGCTACAACACATACATCATAGTCCAAATGAAATCAACAACTACTTTACCAATATTGCCCAGACAACAGTTGAACTACCAAAAACACAGCGACAGTCAACTATGGCACCTGCTGCATTTAAATATAAAACTACGAGTGTCAATAAACTAAAAATGAATGAGGTTACTTTCAACGATGTTCGAAGTATCATTAAAGGGTTAAAGAATACTACGTCTAAAGACATTTACGGTATTAATTCCGTGTTAGTGAAATCCATCAAAAATATCATTATTATACCTTTAACTCTGCTGGTAAACGAATGTTTGCTACTTGGAGTATTTCCTGACCATTTGAAAATATCCAAAGTTACTCCATTATATAAAAATCAAGGCGATCATCAGGATTTAACTAATTATAGACCAATTTCTATTGTTCCGATCTTTGGAAAAATTCTGGAATTGGTTCTGCAACGTCAAATAAACGCCCACATCGAAAATGAAAAAATACTTACCAATTCCCAGTATGGTTTTAGAAGAAATCGGTCCACTACAAAAGCCATCTTGAAGCTCCAGGAATTCGTATGCGACGCGTTTGAAGATCATGAACTTGTAGCGGCACAATTTTGCGACCTAACAAAGGCGTTTGACTGTGTAGCCCATGATATACTCATCGAGAAATGTCAAATGTATGGCTTCGATAGTACTGGTGTGGCCATTGTACAGTCATACTTATATAATCGTAAGCAAGTGGTAGTCATTAATGATGTACGTTCTGACTCACTTAAAGTTACACGGGGAGTCCCACAAGGTTCCGTATTAGGGCCGACGTTA